CCTTCTGAGCACGATGGCTTTGTCTCCCTCCTGCCTGTTAAGTCTGGCTCAAGAGCAACCCCACTGGGGAATGACCAGACCTCTAAGGAAAGGGGTGTGGAAAACCTCTGCTACCTGGAGGAGGCCTCAGAGGGAATGGTGGTGATTCCTAGTGGACAGATATGCCTGTACAGAGATGAAGGCTGTCTTCCAGCTGCTTCCCTGTGGAGATCTGGACAGGCTGCATCCCCCCAGGGCTTGGGGAGTGGGGGGAGGGTTACAGGTGACTTCAAGGACTTGGGTCCTTCTCCTGGTTTCTCACTTGAGCTCTGGAGTAGGGGAGATGCCACCAAAAACCAAAGGCGTGGTGCAAAGATGATTGGAAAGAAAAAGCTAAAGGCATTTTCAAAACCACATGTGGGCCTGGAGAGATGTGGTGGGGGTTAAGAGGGCTTCCTGCCCTGGAAGGGGACCCACATTTAGTTCCCAGGAGCCACACCAAGTGGCCTGTAACTCCAGCTCCAGGGGGTCTGGCCTTCTTTGGCCTCCAGAGGCACCAGCACTCACATGCACAAACCACATGCTCACACACATGACACATACAAAAAATAAATAGTTTAAGTATCAAGTTAGGATGATTTTTTCCATTTCTCTGTGTGTGTGTGTGTGTGTTCTGTTTTCTACAATAAAATGTGTTGTTTGTAATCAGATTTTTGTTTGTTTGCTTTTTCAAAACAGAGCCTCACTGTACAGCCCTGGCTGACCCGGAACTCACTGTGCAGACCAGGCTGACCTTGGACTCACAGGGACTGGCCTGCCTGCCACCCAAGTGCTGGGGTCAGAGATGTATACCACCAATCCTGGCTTGTCTCACAGTTTTAAACCAAAGCTATTAAAAATGCATTGGTAGCCGGCGGTGGTGGCGCAGGCCTTTAATACCAGCACTCGGAAGGCAGAGCCAGGCGGATCTCTCTGAGTTCGAGGCCAGCTTGGGCTACAGAGAGAGATCCAGGACAGGCTCGAAAACTACACAGAGAAACCCTGTCTCAAAAAACCAAAAACAAACAAACAATACATTGGTAGCAGGATGGATCAGATAATCCTTATAATCCTTTCAGGGACAGTTGCGTTGGTCATCTCAAACTCTGAGAAGAATGGATCCCAGGTCACCCCATCCCCATAGCTGAGAGGCCAGTTCCCTCCCCACTGCAGCCCACCCAGGTTTGAGCAGAGTGGTGCTACCACCTAGAGGTCGGCACCCTGCATTACTTCAGCTCTGCAGAGTTGGGCCCCACCAGCTGCATGCAGTTCTCTGGAGCCTGTGAGTTTGAGGGCAGGGACTGGTGGTCAAGACAGGGAAGAGCAAAGCAGAGTGAGTGGAGCAGACTGTGGGTGCATCTGTGCAGAGCTGGGCGCCGAATGCAAGCTCGGACCTCTTGTTCAAACATTGCTGAGAACTGCAAACCCCTGAGCACTAAACCTAGTGTGGGCAGGTCTGAAGGTGGGGAGTTCTCTCAACTGATTGCTCACAGTCAGTTAAAGATAGAACTTCATCTTCTAATGCCCCTCCCTGCTTCTAACTCCTATGCTTGACTAGTCTAAAAAAGAAGAAGTGTGGGGCTGGTGAGATGGTTTGGTGTGCAAAACACACTCACCATGCAGGTCTAACGATCTGAGTTTCAAGACCCAGGATGGGAGAGAGTTCACTCCCCAAAGCTGTACCCTGACCTGCACAGGTGTGCCATGGTGTGTGAGCCATGATACATGCACACCTGTCCTCATACACACAATAGTTAACTAAATTAATTAAGCCTGATGTGGGCCCTTCTGAGCAGGAGGCCCTGTGTGACCATGTAAGAGACACACCTACAGGGCTGTCCCTCTGCACACTTGTACTTGTGTGTAGGCTAGCAATGTCACGTGTGTAAATGTCCAGACGTGTCCAGAATCCTATGTGAGTGTACATGCCCCATTGCTGTGCACCTGTCTGTACAAGAACAGGCGCCTCTGTGTAGCTGCTTAGGTGATAATGTGTGTGTCCGTGTGTGGTGCGTAGCGCGTGTGATGAAGAGAGCAGGATTCAGTGTTCCGGAACTTAGGTCCTATTTATCTGACTGGGACAGCAGGACACAGATCTGCCTTTATCTGCACTCAGGCAGGTGAGACTCTGGAATGGGCTCTGACAGTGTAGGGTGTGTCCCGGGGCAAGCTCAACTCCCAAATGTCATTGAACCGGTGTGGGTTCATGCGGGTCCATGGGAAGAGGACACAGTGCACTTAAAGGATGTCCTAGCACTTCCAGCTACAGAGATCCACCTGACTCTGCCTCCCGAGTATTGGGATTAAAGGCGTGTGCCACCACCGCCCAGCTCCCGATGTGTTTTTTTTTTTTTTTTTTTTTTTTTTTTTGGTTTTTCGAGACAGGGTTTCTCTGTGTAGCTTTGCGCCTTTCCTGGAACTCACTTGGTAGTCCAGGATAGCTTTGGTTTAAAACTCTGATACAAGCCAAGAAGGGTGGCACACATCTCTGACCCCAGCCTCTCCTGGACTGAGACACCCTTCCTTAGCCAAGAGCATGTTTATTGCTCTCCAAGTTTATGCTTTTAGCAAGTTGATTTCCAATCCCCAAAACACCCCGACAAAGCCTCCAAAGGGACATTGCCAAATGCAAACGCTCAATGATGGATATCAATCACAGTGTGTCTGATTTTCCCAACCATGTGTGCATGGGCTTTGTACCCTTGGGAAACTCTCAGACAAGGTTCCCATAGAGGGCAACAAGAGAAACAAAAGATGACTGAAGGCTAGGTGCTCGCACTCTGGAGCCAGACCAGGCGTAGCGCAATGGGAACTCTCCCATCACCCACTGCTCCACAGGGCAGTCTCAGTGGTCCACCACCTCTCCATGCTTAGCTGACTGGTGAAGGATGGATCAGTCAGGAGTAGACAATGAGACTCCTGAAGACAAGGCTCTGTTCGGAGCCACCCTGGGGTATAATTTCAGACCACAGAGATAAGGGTCATCTCTTCCCTTGGCTTCTCTGCTTCTCCTGAAAACCTTTATTCCCTTCTCTCTCTCTCTCTCTCTCTCTCTCTCTCTCTCTCTCTCTCTCTCTCTCCCCTTCTGTCTGAGTTCAAGAGCAATAGCCTGTGGAAAATACGGAGGCTGCTGTGTATTTCTCCATGACCTGCTCCAATTGGTCTTTGCTCGGCCACCGCACTGGAGTCTCCTGTGAAGGAGACCCTTGACTCCTATGTACAGGAACCTGAGGTCAGCTGAGCCCCAGTCCTGATTCAAATCCCCTCCCTACTATCCAAGTCAAGATTTAGAATTCATTCCATGTTAGGCAAGGGATGGATATCTGAAAGAGGCGGCAGGAGATGGGTGACAGCCCCTGTGATACACCCACAGCAAGGACTCCACTGGGCCCTTGTCTGACACCGTTCCCCAAACTAGGAGGTTGCCAACAGACATGTTGTCATGGACTATGAGCAAAGAATCAAGGGATTTCCTGTCAGCTTTACATGTCTGGAGTGTCCTGTGTAGGTGGGGACAGTGGACATAACCATTTCACTTATGCGTTGTGCATGGAGTTATGGGGCATCTGGATGACGTGTTAATTTTCTCAAACATGAGATATTCGGGGAAACAGTTATGCAATGTGTGAAGAGATACTCACTTCTTTGAATTTCAAAGCCACATAGCATGGTGGATCCAGTGATCAGACAGAGGCCACCTGCCTTGTGTGGCTGTCCCATGTTTATAGTGAAAGCCTCTCATGGGTTCACACGATTCCTTCCCAGTGCCATTTGGTACCAGTTACTACGGCATAGCTATTACATGGGTGAAAAGAATTACAGGCACTTAATTAAACACCACTGCAAACCAAGGGTGTTCCATCTACCTGCGGTCCACCCTGTGGACTGTGTCGGTCACTCCCAGTCAGACTGTGGTTTTTCCTGACTTTCATTTTCCGATGAATGAAAGAAAATACCAAGTAAACCAGAACTTGCCAGTGTCTGAAAATCAGGCATCTGCCCCGTCATAGACTAAAATCATAAGATTTGAACACACTGATCTCCGAGAAAAGAACGATAAGGCCAGAGGTCGGCAGGTGGTTTTGAGCCTGCTCCTGACCCACTCTGCTCATCCTGAGCTGACGACTGTCCCCTGCCCAGGGGTCCCTCTCCTGGCTGTCTGGCCTCCTGCTTCTGTATTTCTGTGCTTCTGGACTGGGTGATGAGAAATGACCAGTGTGTCACTGATGCTGCCCTTCTCTAAAAACAAAGGCCGACACTTCATCCATTGTATTTTTCCACTCAATTGTTTTGTGTTTTAACATACTGTATCACAATATAACTCACACTCATTTTATCACTCACTTCTATGACTTTGTTTTTGGTACCCCCTTTAAATTTGCCCTGAATGAGCAGCTCACTCACCTCATCTCAACCCCACCAGCCTCAGAGTTATTCATTCTTTTGTTCATTCATTTATTCACTTCACACCCAGTCATGAGGTGTGAGCCATGGCTGGCACTGGGGGAGGGGAATGGAGGTGGACCCTGACTTGCCCTAGGACCAAGTTGGGGGCAGGTCACAGTGGACTCTAAGGCAGGAACGAGAAAGGGAAGCAGGCCCCCAGGGATCCAGAATGCTTCTGTTGCTTACTGAGGGTTGTGAACTTAGGTTTTTCCCTCGGAACCCTTCTGGCTTGTAGGTGCTTCTAGAAAAATACCACAAGGGGTCCCAAGGCTTGACAAGGCCACCTGTAGCTGATTTGCATAAGGCCACATGCTGAGCAGTGGTGCCCTTGGGGTCCACCCTAGTTCTGCCTGACTCTGGGCTCACACTCAGGGGGAAGGTGACTATTGCCCCCTGTTCCTCCAGAGGGGTCAGGGAAGGTGGCATGGAGGAGACCGTTCCTGGACTGAGACTAGAAGAGTATGTGAGAGCTGACCAGGAGGCAGTCGGGTGCAAGTGTCCTTGGCAGAAATAAACGCCGTGCGTGTGATCAGAGACTCATGTCCGCAATTCTGAGAAGCCGGCGAAGCTGCTTATGAAAGGGCATGGGTGCTTCCTCATTCTGCTCTCTGTTTCCTCCCGACGTGGCACAAATAAATAGGAAACGCCTAAGGCTCGCTGCTACTTGGAGGCTCCCGAAGGAGGCTGCCTGAACCCAATGCAGAGGTAAGGCTTCCTGCTGCAGAGCAGAGATGGGCTTAAAGGAGGAGTTGTGAGGTCTCCAGGACAGAGAGGGACAGGAGAAGAAGGAGCTGGGGTGGTATCTTGTTCCAGGGACCTGAGGAGGTAAGACTTGGCCCCGCTGGGAAGACTAGGTCCCCAACCCCGAGGCAGTTTGTAGGGGAGGGGGCACCCAGGACTGTACCAGCTGAGGACACAGCCAGAGCTCTAGGAGGGTTAGGGTTAGGGCTGCTCTGGGGCTCTGTGAGGGTCAGTTTCGTCACTGGAGGTCTGGTGGCAGGGAAGACTCCCTTGGAAGCTCTACCTGGGGGTAAACACCCTGTTCCATCTTACTCTGCCACCCACAAATTAGGTCTGTCCTTGTCCTGGGCTTTCAGGCACCCTTCTGTGGGATAGGGAGAGTGGGAGACATAACCCCTCTGTTTCAAATTAGAAATGAAGGGAGGAGAAACAGAGAGAGAGAAAAACAGAGAGACAGATAGACAGACAGAGTTGCTGGATAACCTGGTTATCTCTGGGCCCTTCCCAAGTGAGCTTGACAAGTTACATCCAGTCCCATGGGAGGCTCTATGTCTCCTCCTCTATCTCCAGCACTTCTTTATCCCAGGTCCTGTAGGTAAGTTCTCTCTCTCTCTCTCTCTCTCTCTCTCTCTCTCTCTCTCTCTCTCTCTCTCACTCTCTCTCTCTCTGTTTCTCCTCACACTTTGCTCTGAACCACTATAGGTAATTTAGATTCAGGACCAGATGTTGTGTTCTGTACCTAAGGTGCTGGCTGGGAGATGTCTCATCACACAGCAGGGAACCTGTCCCTCCTGGACAATGACGTATTCAGCACCTCTGCTGACTGGAGTCAGAGACAGCATAATCACTGTCACATCTCACAGCTCACAAACTAACCGGCTCATCGGTCCTGCAGGCTGTGTCCCACAGGTCGTACATTAACCATTGTTTGAGAGAAATCTCATGACCTATGAACCCAAGAATTTGCTTGAGGCTCAGGCCCCTGCCTCTGCTCAAACCCAGCACACAGTGCCTTTGAGCCTAATTTGGCAATGAGAAGGGACCTTCACCTCCTTCTCTGTGGTGCAGCGCCTCTCCTCTCCCTACCTCTTTTCAAAGGGCTTTCGAAGAAGACTCCTCCTCTGTCTGGATGGGCTGCAATGTCGTTTCAGACCCTACCATTTGGTCGGCTCTAACAAGTCTTCTGCTGGACCCTGACATCCGGTACTGGAACCCGAGGGGTGTCGGTGATGTTGCCCCGTGAGCTCCTCCATTGCTGCTGCCCTTTCTGCATCTGACCCCAGACCTCCGTCCTTCCCTGGTGAGTCCCTGGGGTCTCCTAGGACATTCTGTCTGTCTGTCTGTGCCAGGAATCTTAGTGCTCAGTCACGGGGCCCACGGGGCCTGGGTATGTTCCTTCACCCAGGCTTGCTGAGTACAGAGACACATGTTCTCAGGCTCCGTCTACTGCTGGTGGCCTGGCTGCACTTCAGGAAGGTCTCACCCTTGCGGCCTTTCCTCTAAATCAGTGTTTCTCAACCTGTGGGTCGCGACCTCTTTGGGTCGTAAGACACTTTCACAGGGGTCACCTAAGATCATCGGAAAACACAGATAACTATGTTACAATTCATAACAATAGCAAAATTACAGTTATGAAGTAGCATTGGAAATCATTTTACGGTCGGGGGTCACCACAGCATGAGGAACTGTATTAAAGGGTCACAGCATTAGGAAGATTGAGAACCACTGCTCTAGACCCTCTTGACCGGATTTTGTGATGGTATCACTCAGTCTCATCTGCCTAAGGACTCACCTCTCAGCTGCTTTCTGCAAAACTTCTACACACTTCAGCGGCCCCGGGAGAAATTTATTAAAATTTATTAAACCTGAAATCCTGATTGCTTTGGCAACACTGACCACAGCACCAGTAGCCTGAACACAGCTCCTCTGATTTCCTAGGTTCCTTCACACTGTGCAAGGTAAGGGGCCCGGGACCCTTGAGCATTCTTCCTCCTCCGTAACGGACCCCTGTCACCCTAGGACCACATTCCCAATCATAGGAGGATCCCATCTGCTCTTAGGGACACAGCTCTCTTTCCTTTTCTGTGAGAATTTTCCCACTGTGTCTCTGTTCACAGCAACTGCTTTTCTTGAAACTCTCACAGTAAATATGACCTAATGAATTGTTTCATTCCCATGCCTTGAGTTTTTCCACCACGACAGAGGGTGAGTGCCTGGGTGTTAGCAGGTGTGTGTGTGTGTGTGTGTGTGTGTGTGTGTGTGTGTGTGTGTGTGTGTGTTCACCAAGGGGACTGACTTGTAGCTTCACCAGACAGGTTCCTGGGCCTGGCTGTAGGGTTTTCCCTCCTTAGAGGCCCTGCCTGAATATTTTTGCATATTCAGATTCTAACTTTATTAATTCATATCTCACTTCTTTGTAGTTTCATGGTGTGTAAACTTTGCACTCACCCCTGGTAACTCTCCCCCCAACCCATTCATCATTTTTAGTTTAATGTGCCAAGCTGCGCATGTCCCAGTACTATAGGAGAGAGCATGGTTCATCAGTGTTTAGTGTCGAAGACACAGACACCTGATTGATTAAGGGTTAGGATAATCTAGAGTCATGGATGCTGAAGACATGTTATTGCACTTGTGTGTCTACAAGTAGATGTTCAGAAGTGGCTGCTTTTAAATTATCCAATCCCATCTGGAGAAGGAAGATCAAATCCTCTGCTGAATTTGAAAAGTTCTGGCTTCAGCACATTCCACCTAATCTGAACTTATTTTTTTGAGGATCTCAGAAACATGGGCTTATTAACCATGGCTTTGGGTTAGCAAACGTTTATAAACAAAACAAACACTGCTTACAGAAGTGTTGTGTGAACATACCACAAACAAGTAAACAAACAAAGAAAACCCCAGAGTGGCCATTTGGCATGCCAGTTAAGTTGTTTCTAAGGAATGCATAGTGGAAAATGTCCGCAGCATTTAGACACAGAAGTGATATAGAGGACCAAACCCTTTTCAGATGAAGAAACCATCTCCAAAATGTGTTAGTGTTTGTCCAAAGTAACCAATACCATCCCATTGGTATAAAACAATACAAAATAATCAGCAGAAAATCCCAATAGTTCTAATGTGACTCTCAACGCCAATGTACCAGTCTTGGCTCCCATTAGAATATAGTTATTATTTCCACACTAGTATTCTAAAAACCAAGTTTCCATATATAATATATTTATATTATGTAATTTGTATATATAAATTAAAATACAAGCAGGTGTTGAGCTGTTGCTTCCCGACGGGGTGCCAAGTTCACCTCTTTCCGTAAGGGTTGATGGGATGCAGAGGACTCTTCCGGCTCGCCTCTTGGCCAGCACCACACTCGTTTCCACAGTCTTTCATTAGTGAGACCCGTCAGCTCTCACTGCTGTGCTAGGCCCACTGTTCAGGATCCTCTGGCAGAGGCTCTGGGCTCTTCACCAGCATCTGGTCTCCTTTCATTTACAGTCCTCCCCTTGAGTAAGCTTCCCACTCAGGGCCAGGTTTCCTTTCCTTTTGAGATTCAAGGGATGATTCACCTCACTCCAGACAGGCTGCCTTTCTCAGGTGCCCCAATCTCTCCTACTCCAGAAACCCCTTCCCCACCCTGCCACACACACACACAAGGAACCTTTCCCACCACATTTTCTCAGGCTCTCCACCCTTGCTTTGTCCGTGTTTTCCTGGGGCCGTTTATTTCCTCTGTGGACTAGAGCAGTTTCTATCCTGTTGGTGTCTTGCAGCGTCTCTGGCTTGAGTCATATCCCAGAGGTGTGTTTAAAATATTAGCAGCAAGTGGCGGGGGGGGTGGGAGGAAGAGGGGAACAGGAGAATCTGCTTTTGGTATGTAAAATGAATAGAAAATTTCTTAATAATAAAATAAATAAATAAATAAATAAATAAATAAATAAATAAATAAATAAATAAAATATTAGCAGGTATTGTCATCCCACTGAAAAAGCTTCGGAAGGCGATGCCCCCCTCCTCTCCGAGTCTCAGTGCACAGGATGGAGTTCCCCTTTGTCCTGCTTCATGGTCTTCATCCACATGTTTGAGGGGCAACCCAGTTAGTCCATTACTGTGTTTACTTACCTGTGATGAAAATACAGTTCCCTGGGTTACTGTTCTGTTTTTCCTTTGTCAGGGTTAGGACGTCTTGTGTCACATAAAATGTTTCTATCATCTGTCACTGTTTAGTTTGCTCTGTGTGTGTGATCATGGATGCACCGGTGCATATGTGCATTCACGTGGAGGCCAGACGACACCCTTGGGTGTCCTTCCTTAGGTACAGTCCACCTTCTTTTGGAGACTGAGTCTCTCGCTGGCCTTGAACTCAGGAGTAGACGAGGCCGGCCAGTCATCGAGTTCCTGGGATCTGCCTTTGTCTCTGTGCCTCCAAAGTGCTGGGACCAAAAGTGCATGCCACCTCACTTAGCTTCATGTTCATGTAGCTTCTGGGCCTTGACTCAGGTCCACATGCTTGCAAAGAAGACCCTTTACCCACCGACTCACCCCTCCAGCCTTGTCTTCTGGTTTGGGTTTTGTTTTGCTTTGTGGTTTCTGGTTTCAACATTTCACTCAACCCCCAAGATTAAAGATGTGTTTTTAATGCCTTCATGTTTTAGTTTGGAGTTTCAGATCTTTAATCTTCTCTGGATTTGGAATGGAGGGTATGATGTAAAGAAACAATTTAACTTAAAAGCATGGTCCCCTCATTGACCACAAGTCACCAGTCACAAGTGTTCAGCACCTCTCCCTCTCGGTGGCTGGAGACAGCATTCCATTTCTGAGATCTGACACACTTGGTTATATTCCTTATCATTTTTATTTTTTGTCTTCTCTGCAGTTACTTCCTTTTCTTTGCAAATGCAGCATGCCTCTGCCTTCTGTTTCTTCTGATTCAGAATCAGCTCATCCAGGGCGTTGAAAATCCTTCTATATCCTTCATTTCTGTTGCACTGGGAGTCAGGATTGTTCTCAGCATAACTGGTCGCTGGAGACAGAGGTGGGACTTTCTCCCACGCCTGCCTTGGCCAGGAGGGGAGCCCTGCAAGTCCCCTCTGGTTCTGGCACTGCCCTGGGTTTCAGGCAGACACACTCAGGTCATCAGAACGGTTTGCAGGTTAACCATTTCCGTTGTCCTGTCAAGTAAACTGGTGCTATGGCCTCTCGCTGGCGATACACTGAGGAGACTTCTCAGCGACCCTCCTTCCCTGGTCAAACGCTCCTTGTGTGGCCACCATGTACGCTCCTTCAACAAATCAGTATCCAAAAGCCTTGTGGAATTGTTTTTATCTGGGGTAAATTTCTGTTTGCTCCCGCTCCCCAAACATTCTATTTCTTCATAAACTCAGGAATTAGGACAAAGTAACACTTCTGTTTGCCCCCTTTTCTCCTCAGCCTTCCTCTCTCTACACTTACCCTTCATCCTCAGTGACTTTCAACCCTTACTTGTTCTGTTTAAGACAGATTCTCGCAGTGTTGCCCAGGCTAGCCCCAACTCCAAGTCTGAAATGATCCCGCCTCAGCCTCCCTAGTTGCTGGGACTGAATGCACACCAAGGCCCTGATTCAATCCTTACATGTGAACCACCCCTCTAATTATAAATATAATTCTACGCCAGCACTTGGGCTTAATTAGCATGTTGTGTTCTCCTAAAGCTGGTTTTCAGTTCTCCTCCACCTCAGCCTCTAAGCCGCCCCCCCCCCCCCTCCAGCCTTAGTCATCTGCTCTTTGGCCCCGCCCTCCCCCCTTAGTCCTCTGAGCATTGGCCCCGCCCTCCTGCCTTAGTCCTCTGAGCCTTGGCCCCGCCCTCCTGCCTTAGTCCTCTGAGCCTTGGCCCCGCCCTCCTGCCTTAGTCCTCTGAGCCTTGGCCCCGCCCTCCCCACAGCTGTGTGTTCTCACTGGCGCTTCACACACTGGCTTTTCTCCCCACTGAACTAATGTCTCTTTCCGATATGGCATGCTGGCTTGCTTGGAATCTGTCTTTCCTGAAAACAAACAGCTAAAATAACTTTTTTCAGGAAATATCTGAAGATTCTTCCAGTCTCCGTGTAACCAAACACTTTGGTTGACCCTTGAACAGCAAGTAGAACTTGGTCTTTTTAATTTGTTTTTATTGTTGTTTATGTGGCACAGGGCACATATGGACCTCAGCAAGTGTGGAGGTCAGAGGATAATTTTCTGGGCTCAGATCTCTCCACTATGGAACCTGGGACTTGAACTCACATTGTCAGGCTTTTGCAAATACTTTTACCTGCTACATCTCCCTGTCTCCTC